CTCAGAGAGCGGCAACAACTCAATAGCGCAACTCAACACAGTGTCACCCAGGCCTATTGAATACAGAAAACAACAGATTAAAAGATGACACGAAATATATGAAGCAAGAATTAAGGTGTAAATCTTAAATTTGGAAAGAGTAACTGTACACAGTGCGCAAAATAAAAAGCGGCAAAATGGAAACATCACTGGTTACAGGGGCAGAAAATTCGGCAAGTAAAAAACTGACAGAATGTACTTGAAAGTTTCTATCTGAGTTTTTTCCTAATTATAGTAATAATTTGTGAAAGATAGAAATTTTAAAATTTGAAGTATTTTTTGTTGTCATTCAAATGATTAAAGCTGGGGACGAAATCGACTAAACTTTCTCCGAGAAACTTTAAGCCTATGCATAAGCAGCCTCTAATCATTTTTTCTTTTACGTCTTCTAATAAAGGAACAGTGGAAACCAAAAAACAAATAGTGGAAAACTCTAATATAATTCAGCATATAATCAATTTTAGTGAGTTTCTTTGGCAAACCAAGGAAAGCTGAAAAACTGATAAATTATTTGATTTAGCGACCGATATTAGAAGCAATGATTTTGATTAAAACATCCCCTCTTGAGCTAGTGTGAGCGTGTAACTCTTCAGATAATGTAGAGATTCCTGCTAAAGATGCATCTTCCCCAGCGCAATCCCTGAATGTACAATTTCAATTTCGTGTCGAATTAATCAGGTTTGAACCGGGCAATTCCTAAGGATTTATTCATGTTTCGGCCAATTGCGATCTAGATATTTCATTTTAGTGAACGAAACTAAAAGCAATTCGAGCAGTGAACCGTTCCGAAATGGAAAATCTCATAAGGTTTGTTCACCTGAACCAAGCAGGCGGTTTTTCTGCTGTCAGAACACCAATTTGTAGTAATCATTCATTCGGACATTGTTTTTTGGGTGCCCGTAATTGCACCATCCTTGAAAACGTTCATGCTTAATGATTTTGTCGTTAAAAGCAAGTGTTACTAGTCTTGTACGACTAAGTGCAATGTGCCAAGTGTGAGACGCAGTTTAATCATAATTGATTTAAGAACCCGAGTTATTTTTCATTCGAGTTGGAACAAACTTTCGGTCCGTAACAATGATAAATTTGTTAGAGAACTCGAACGTTAACTTTATCAAAGCCTTTCCACTCGCTTCTTCCAAGTTCATTTTTCCCCTGGATAGAGTAAATCGTCGCTTATTCGACCACGAGCAAGTGTAGTTTAAATGACCTTTTTTCATTTCTGAACGAGTTATAATTGTTGGCAATTGTGTAGGCAGGAAGAACCACTTTGCTTGTTTGCAGTTAATTAGTTAATTAACAAACAGCTTTGTAACTTGGAATCCAACGCAAAGTGGATGACGGTGCAGGAAATGTTCATAAATTTATCTAATTGTGTTCTGGCGAGAAAAAGAGTGAACAGTTTTTTAGAACGACCAAAACCCGAAAAGTCAGTTTTTGAGCGCAATATAAAACATTAAAGATGAAAAATTGCCTTTAGACAGCAATAAAAAAATAATTGCAAGCAATCAATCGGCTAATTGAAAATGTCGCACCGTTGGAATGGTGCTAATCAAACAAATTCTCAACCAAGGAGAATCAAGGATATACGAAACGTTTCGATTGCAATAAACAATGTTTTTCCTTAAATTGTAATGCGAAATTCTTATGTAAGTAGCGAATTATAACTGTATTACCGAGAAAATGATGGTGATTCAAAGAGCAAAGAACTCCACAGTGGGTAATTGCTTTTTTATTCCATGCCACATCTCACGTTTTTCGGTTGTTAAAATACGAAACTGTGGGATTATTGTACTTTTATTGTTTGCGTTGAACTCTTGTGGTTCATGGCACCTGGCACATTAAATGAAAACGTCAAGATTGGAACGTGGAAAAATTCCTAGTGTCTTGAGTTAATTTATCGTATTTTTTCATCTCAACTCCAAATGAAATATTCAACGATCCTCGACTTTAAACGCAAACGACAATAAACACAAAACCTTGCTCACATTGACACAAACCCCTGATAAAAACACCCACTAAATGCTTGCAATTGTTGCATTTTTCCATTACGCATTTACATTCTCAGCTCCTTGAGATCGCGATTTGAATTGATTTCGCCTTTATCTGAGAGTTATTAAACCAGCAAATAGTTGACGATAAAAAGTCCATAAGGGCGCACGTTTGGCTTCCATTGAGTGCCCAAGTAAACAAAACGACGTTCGAGATTATTATGACAAAAACGGCACAATAGATGTGATGAAAAATTGCATAAATTCGTCAAAAGCTAACTGTTTGAGACCTTCCCATTTCCGTTGGCGATTTCGTCGTTGATGAATGCGGGCAAGGAAGTGAGAGGCTGTTAAATTGTAAAGTTTTTATGTTTTCAAATGTTTGAAACGTGTCGAGTAAGCGTTTATGGATCCAGAATCTTGCATAAAGTGTGCGTAAATCATGTAAGTTTTATACTTCCTGTCTAAATGGTTTTTGGGAAAATATCGGAAAATTCAACCCAACTGGATGAAAACGCGAAACAATCGAATTTGCATAAACTACTTGAACTACGCAATTAAATAAGTTATTGCGCTCGATAGTCGAAAGACTAATTGATTATTTTCTGGATTTTTCTCCTGGCACAACCTAATGTACAGGTTATTCGGTTTGCCCTTGTGTGGTGCGTTTTAATCATAGAAAATCCTGAATAATTGCAGGAGAAAACCCTGTAGGTAATTCACTATTACCGTCTTACTGCAAAGCAATAATGATAAAGTTTAGCTGAACGAAATCTTGAATCAGAGCAGGGGAAGCTGAAGGATTTTAAACGTAGAATTGCTAAAATTAAACTGAAAACCCCCGATATTACTTAGCAGAGGTTTGAGTCCGGGCACACTTAAATTTCCATCAGTTTGAAGCCCAAACTTTATTCAAAGTTCAAAACAGAACAAAAAAACCAATTTAAACAAGTTTTCTTAAGCAAAAAACACCCGCAAGGATATTGATATTGAGGCAATGCATCCCATCCTAATTCATGAAAATTTGTCAAGAAAAAAATCCAAAAAACTTGAAATATTGTCGAAAAACCAACCCAGTTTAGTAAGATTTTTCTACTAATGTGTGATTTTTGAGTCACTCTATTTTTGCCAAATTTAAAATATTTACTCTCAAATCGTCCGGATATGTGAAATGGCGAAAATAATCTGTCGACACTCTATTTGAATCCATTTCGATCGCCTTTGATTGGCTTTATGAGACAGTTAATCTAAGGATTAGAAAAAATATACACTTCAAAAACCTATAGAGAGTCGATAGATGGCAATAAAGGATGTGGATCAGATCAACATGAGCATTTTACTGGAAAAAATATTGTTGGCTGTTTTAAACATCCGAAAATGAAACTCATTTTTCCAATTTCGATTGCAGGATTCGACTTTTCCAGCTTTCCCACTAAATAAACATAACTTTTGTGCGAAAGAACGAATTCCAAACAATGTTAATTTCATTAACACTTGACCCATTTCTGCTCTGCAACTAAATCCACTGTCAAATAGACCATAATCTCATGTGTTCATCCTGGACATTTGCATATCTTTTTGGCGCGGAATTTCCCATGTAATCCACCCTTAACGGTTTGCATGTAATCTGTTGAGCCATTGAGATTTTCGAAACTGAGTCGTGGTCGCTAACTTGACTGACAAGGGCCGGAATGCCCGGATTCTGGCAAATGAAGGTGAAAAGGATGCGAATGTCGGAACCGCGACTATCCAGACGGATGAAACAGAGTGGAGGATCCAGTTCCGCAAAATGAAATATATCCTTTGGCTTAAACATCAACCATTGAATGGCTTAGAGTTGGAACAGCAGTTGTTTGGAAAGGGAACTCAATTCGTCCGGGAAAATCATGTATGTTTCATATTGGAATTAATTTCATCATGGGAAGGCGAGATTTTGTCTTCAATCTTTTACTCTACAGAATATACAGAACAGCCATAATTTGTTTGCACAAAAACTATGAACGCGGAAGAATTTGTAAAGAGGACGTAAATGTCAAAAGGAGATTAATGCATCAACTCAAAAAAAATTAGTTGATTTTAGCTACCAAACAAAAAGTTCTCGTAGTTTTTGTACCAAGACACTCGCGAATTCCTCAGTTGCCCAAAGCGAATAAACTCTGTTGCTTAATCAAAACACGAGTCTTACATAAAAGCAAATTCACAGCGAGATTCATTAAAATTCAGAGGAAAAATCAATAGCAGAGACGCCAGACATTTTTTCACAAATAAAAAAGAGCAAAAGTTAGGTCGCAAAGAATATCGCAGTACTCTTTTGATTACTTAATCACTATCACCAAGCACTTGCTTAGTGAACACCCTGCATCAAAAACCTGCAGGTCGCAGATTTGAATTGAAAGCAATATGCCCTCGTAATTAGGCAAAGCGCGACAAGGCCAGATATTTCCGATATGTTGCTTTCATTCTGGACCATCGCCAGAGCTCTCAGGCAATTTGTTGCTGCGCTACGGGGTGCATTCGATTTGTAGCAACTGCAGATTTATGATGTTTCTAGGAAACCCCTATTTTACTCTGTCTGTTTTTGCGATAAACTTTTTAAAAGAATATTGGGAAACCGATGGAACTTCAAAAATCCACGGGGTCAAAACAGTTTAGGAAAAAACATCCATGGAGACTGACAATAGCGAGTTTTTACCAATTATATTCCAAAAAACGTGCCAACCGAAGCGAATCTAAGAACTCCCATCTACCCATATCTGAAAATGATACATGATATGGGGGTGTGATGCGTTGTCACCGACTTCAAGAAAACCATATGTCATTCTCTTTCGGAATCCAGACAGATTGTAATTTGAGGAATGTTTCGGTTTCGAGTGGGAGCATTTCGATCCGCAACCACACAAATATAAATGGAAGAAAAATCGTGTTTTCCTGAAATTGTTTTCGAATCTAAACGAATTTTTCTTGTTCCAGGTGATGGTAAAAACCAACTCGCCCACACTCTTTCTTCTGCTATTGACCACAAGTACAGTACTTGCCTCAATTTGCCCGAAACACCAGTACCTGAACGCTCAACAGCAACGTTGCATGAATTGTACAGAGTGTTCGCAAGGAACCATCGTTTTACTGCCTTGCGAACTGCACAGAGACACTCATTGTGGGCCGATTAGTGATTTAAGTGAACTGTTGGTGGAAAACAGTGGAAACCCTCATCGACACCATCATGACAGGCATCGACACGAAAAGCACCGAAATAAAGAGGGAGAGCTGGTTTGGAGGTAAGACGCTTAAAGAGTTGAGATGCTGCATGAATAACTTTCAGTTTCGCGACGAATTTTGTAAGGTCGCGGTGTTAATGGTGTCGAAACCATCGATAATTTCCATGAACAATCAGGCAACGATTGCTGCAATTGCATTATTGTACCTTATTGATTTGTGAGCGAAACAACCCAGCCAGTCTGGGTTTAAACGGTCTCGAAAATCGAATTCAAGTGGGTCAGGCTCCGATTCATCGGTTGGTACGGTTTGCTATGGTGGCCAACCATTTAGTATTGTAGTACATTTACATGAACAATTTAGTTAAAAGTGTGTGTTCCGCATGTTAAGGATTTAATTCCATTTAAGCTCAAGTGCAGCATGGGAAAAATGATGTAAGTGATTGGTATGCAAAACCCATCCGCAAGAGTGCCATATGAGGATTTATTTTAAACGTGTTCCGTCGAATTGCATAATATTGCGGAATTATGGATTCTTCACAACTTCATCAGCATCTCAGTTATGTCACTAGCAATTCAACTAGGATCCTTGACATTTCCATTAATCTTTTATATCCATTTTGAAAAAATCGGAAATTCTGGATGATTCTTTTCAACGTTTTGTGAATTTAGATATGGGGAAGATGTACGTGGAGACGCACCCTCACCGGCGGCACTGGAAGTCGCCAGTTCAGAGGCGCCGTTCTCCAGCGCCGAGACGCTCGTCTGGGATTGGCAGGCGATTGCCCTGACTTCGGCTGTATTCGCCTGCATCCTGTTTTTTCTTGTGATCACCCTGTACTCGTTGCACCAGGCCAGACAGTGGCGGCGCTTGAAAGAGAATTTCGAAGCTGGTAAGTGATTTTTTCTGCCGATTCATTCAGTTAAAGGTCGCATTAGCTGGTATTAGCATCAAATCCATATGGGCGAAAGGAGCGAGTTGCTTAAATGTGTACTTGGTTTCAATGGGATTAATGTCGAAAAACTTTCACTTTATGCCGAGCTTCTTTGCATCGAATTGCCCAAGCAACTGCTAATTGCTAAAGCAAATTGTATTTATTTCTGTTGTTTGTTAGTCACACTTTTAAATAAGGTTGACAGTTTCGATACTGGTAGCAGTTAATATTTTTCTATAAACACCGAAAGCTATTAGCGATTGAATGGCTAATTGACAGCAACAGAGACACTTAATCAACGAAATTGCCCAATGCTGGAAAATGCATATTTCCCGATTGACACGAACAGGGGCGTTAATTTCCCCGAACTGAGGCATTTCATGTTAACACACACATATTGAAAGGGTTTACCATGCAACAAACTTAACTAACTTAGTAGTTCAGGAAAATTGTGGAAAATCATCCAGATTTCAGAAACGTAATAATTTTTTTGCCGATCTACTGTGTTTTCCTTAGGGCAAAGAAACATGCAATTTTTTCAACCAAATTTCTAGTTTCTAGTAGGATTTGAGGCTTTTAATTTGGCATTTTTTTCATTTTAAAACGGCCTTTCCCCGATTTTCTCTAATTGGCAAAGTCTGCAAAAAATTAATTTCCTCATTAAAAAAACACAGTCACTGTCCCCAATTCACTTCAGTTCCATACCCGGTTATTTCCAACTCTCTGATGTTTAAATGCACGCAATAAACACTCAAATTTACACTTAAAACTGCTGGGAAAGCTTCTGTGAGTAGTTTTTTTTCTAGTTAAATTGCAACAAAACAACTGGTTTGGTAGCACTCCATGCATTCGTCCAAATTAAGCGACTGTATTGGCGTGTGTCCCATTCGTTTTTGCACACATGCTACAATTACATGGGTTGATTTATCGCTGCCATTAAACCTTCCAACAACTACTTCGTGAATTAAAAAGTTACGCTTTTCCGTTATTTATGTGCATCAGTATTTATGGAACAGTATTGGAAAATGGCCCTTTTCTTGTTTTCTTTTGCAAAAAGCTTCTGAGAAAGCCTATAAAGTTGCACTTTTTTCTACGGGCGTTTTTCTACGAAAGTCGGCAACTTTTACGAAAGAAATCACAACATCCGTCTAAATGTCCAATTTTGTAAAGTTTCCAGAGGAAAAATGTGAATTTTATTAACGAACAATTTATCAAGAGTTTAAGGTGCATTACATTTAATAATCTAAACAGGAGATTAATTTTAACAGTATAATCTATTGGTTTTAATCCTCAAATTTCCACACCTACTACAAACCAACAAAAAAATCCAGATTATTTCAATGATAAGTCTTAACAGCCAAAAATTTCAATTCTTCTATTTTTACATTTTACGTGAGAATTAGGAAAATTTCTAAAATGATGTTAGGTGTAAAAATTATACAATTTAACGGTCTATCTGGAAATGAAAACTAGGGCTTCGTAGCTCAACCGGTTCTCTAGATACGCGCCAACGAGTAAGAGCGGTTCAGAAGACTAGCATACATTTTTAAATGTTACGCGAAAACTAGAAAGTTTTCTAAAATGATGTTTGATATAAAAAAGTACGCAATTTAAAGCTCTATCTGGCAATCAAAACTAGAGCCTTGTAGCTCGAACGGTTCTCTAGATACGATCCAAAGTATAACAGCGGTTCAGAAAACTCGTATTAATTTCGAATTTTTGCATTTTGCGTAACAATTAGCAGAAAATCTAAAATTACGTTCGAGACAAAAAAAAGTACGTTATTTATTGCTCTAGTTGCAGATCTAGAGATCTAGAGATACGACACAATAAATAAGAGCGGTTCAAGACTCGCATTAAATGAGAAGTTATGCAGTTTGCGTGAAAACTAGTCGAATTTTTAAAATGCTATTCGGTAAAAATGATGTTCGTTAAAAAAAACCGGGATTAAACGCTCTATTTGGTAATAAAAACTAGAGCTTCGTAGCTCAACCGGTTCTCTAGATACGAGACAACGAATAAGAGCGGTTCAGAAAACCTGCACTAATTTTGAATTTTTGCATTTTGCGTGAAAACTTACAAAACTTCTAAAATGATGTGCGGTACAAAAAGTCCACAATTAAACACTCTATTTGGTGAGGAAAACTAGAGTTTCGTAGCTCAACCGGTTCTCTAGATACAAACCGACGAATAAGGGCGGATCAGAAGACTCACATTAATTTTGAATTTTGTAATTGGGGTTAAAACTAGAAACATTTCTAAAATGACATTCGGTATAAAAAAAGTACGCAATTTAACGCTCTATCTGATTCGCTAAATACGAGCCAAAGACTAAGAGCCGTTCTGAAGACTCGCATTAATCTTGAATTTTCCCGTTTTGCGTGAAAACTGTGGCCGTATTTCTAGCTTTCCAATTTGCAAATTCGCCAGACGGTTAAGCACATGTTTCTCTGGAGTCCCTGGATGAATATGAATGAAATTGCCACTTTAACTCCATTCTTGCCCTTAAATTATGGCATTTTAGTATAAACCCTCAAGCGAGCACAGGCATCTTCCGGCCGAATAAATTCCTCTAAAAGTGAATGGAAAATTCTTCTACTCCAGTTTCGTTAAAATGTATACTGGTGACTTTCTGCTTTTTTAAGTTTCTGTTTAAATAAATTAGTCAACATCTGAAATTTTAAGAAATCTGTCTGTATACATGATTGAAGCAACAACACTTAGGTCGGAGTTCTCAATGGTAACTGGTTTACCTTACAAGGCAATTCTTTGGGGTGTGAATTGGGCACTAAAAGTTTCAGCGGACTTCAGGACTGTCCATCAAATTTGCATTTTAGAAGTCAATTAAATAACGTCAGCTAAGCTTTTCGACTCTAATTAATTTGGTGGCCGAAAGTTGTTTTTCTGGAACGCCGACGTAAACAAAATTTAATGAGATTTGGACCGGAGGACAAAGCCATCGTCGGAAAACTGAACGCAAATTCTAAACGATGCCAAATAATGGAGAATGTCCACGGGGAAAATCAGAAAATGCAATTATGCAGACTGGAAATACGTATCTGTACTGTTGGGTAAAAGGCACATTTTTTGCGACGCTGATTATTCTTCTGTTGATTCAGTTGATTGGCTATTCAAGCTAGTAAATGATATTTTTCCACTGCTTTCAACCAATAGTTTTTTCATGCAAAAATGCCCCTGATGTTTGATGGCTTACGCGAACAAAGACGAATGATTGCAGGAAAGCTTTCTAAATATTTAATTCCTATTTCCGGTTCGATCGCAGTGGTTTCGATCAAACAATTACACGCGGAAATGAGAGGAAAACAAATCGGCAATTACGTTCAGTTTTTAGCCAGCAAACTGTGAAAATAATGATGAGAAAAACAAATTGTGTGGAACGCAGTACATAATGACCATTGATTTTTTCTAGGTCATAGAAGCTGTATTGTACGGATTTAATTCTGTAGAAAAACTGGGTGGAACGCGAGGTGGCTAGATTAGAAGCCTTTCCTAGGGTAAATTGTATAATTTATCATCGAGCACGCAGTCGGGCAACGTCGCTTATATAATTTCCTCCTCTGTTTAGCAAACGTAACGTTATAAGAACTTCATTTCCGGCTTATAGTTTTAAACACGCGTCCTACATGTAAACAATCATTCATATTTTCCACATCTGGAACCCAATGTAAACAGCGCACATTCTACGCTCTCGTAGTGGATTTTCAAAGTTCTGGAGTCAAGTCGCTGCCATTCAGATCCCGATTTAATTACCGGACGTTTGTATGGATTTGACGGGAATTTATCAACCATTTATCTTGCCTCAGACCATACAAATGGCCGTGTCCAAATCCGCTGAAAACGTTAGGAAACATCTGGAAAGCTGTATTGTGGAAGTAGTTACAAAACTGCTAAAGTTTAACTACGGATTACATTTACTTGCTACAAACATTTGCTCAATGTTACTCTAGTTGTTCTCCTGCTGACAAATTTGATGATGAAATCTCAGCTAGTAGGATGGAAATCCGCCCATCCCCTGTTTACGTTCTCGATAAGATCGAAATTTTAACACTTTCTGCGTGGTTTACACACACTTTCTCTATCAGACTTCGTTAAGTCCTTGCAAAATATTCCTAATTGGTTCCACTAACTCATCCTTTCCATACCATTAACACATTGCGAAGCTGTTTGTTAAGTTTAGCAACAAATCGACATTTTCGCTGTTTAGATCGAGTGTTTGTGTATTATAAATGACGGCAAACAACAATAATTCTACGGTCGTCAAGTAATAAATTCTGTATGCGACCAAGATGGTATTCTTGTGATATACTATCCATGCTTGGAAGAAGGCCATCTGACCAGTCCGCCTAGTTAGTACGCAACGGCGTGAATTTATAGTCCTTTTATGGGGGCCCATTTATTACAACTACAAAACCATTTTTAGCTTTGGTAACATGGCTGTGGAATTTGTAGTATGAGAAATAATAATGAATGGTGCTTACGAGTATTGATGTTCAGGTATTAGCTACTGGAAACGAGTGCTAATTTATTGGCTCATAATTTTCTCTAGTTATTATTTCATTGTTATTATATTATGCTTGATTCTTCGAGTTTGGATGCACGTTCCAACATCGAACGAATAGTAAAATATAAAAAGCTGCCATCGAAACCGGCCAGTAAAACACTTTACTGGCCACAAGTAAGTGAGTTTATTAGCTCGCTTGTTGATCACTTTAGCGGAAAAGTGGATACCAAGTTTTGTATGCAGTTTTACCTCCCGTATTCAGTGAAAATTGACCGGCGAATTTTTCACCAAAAAACTTTTGTTTCCAAATTCTTCCTTTGCAGAACTTTTCTCATCTGATGAAAATACATGCAAAGTGAGCGGGCTTGTTTCGAAAAAAAATCTCGGATTAGGATTAGAGGGACAGACGGAAAATTATTGAATTTTGACACTATTG